TCATTAACATTTGCATCCAAATTATATCGGCAGAGGGGAAAGACCTGATTGTGGAGGCGGCACAAGTGCACTTTTATAATTTTTGGGACGAAGTTAATTTGAGTAGATAGCACGATCTCTCTAGTTCTCTACAAAGTAAGCCATTTTGCTTCTTCTACGTCTTGTACAGAGAAGTGTCTACGACAAATTTTATAATGTAAGCATTTCAAAAGATTAGATTCCTAGTTCGGTCTTAGGGTTAACAGGGCTAGCAATTCTTAGTTAAAATGACAACCGTACAGTCTGTTCCGTGTGAAGGCTCATTTCGTCCTCGTCATCGTCGACTTCTTCCGGCACCGGGCCGGCAGCTTCCTGGGCAGTTTCTGTGCTCATTCCCGAACCACTAGTTAGTTCACGGGCCTTTTCCTCCAGTTTCCATCGTTCTTCCTGGGAGGGGAAGAAACAAACAGGAAATTGTGTGACTTTTGGGTGTAGAAGAAGAGGTAGAGATTTTCGCAAACCAACACTGAGCATGAGCTCGTGAAAGAGATAAAACGGCAAATTTCCCTATAAATTCATGTCCAAGTTTAATGTGCAGTTTTATGAAAAATTGTAAATATTTGGTAAAATATACTGACAAGAAATTTATATTCATGAAAGAAATCTTCGACCCGATGTTTGCTTACGTTGGCATCTTATCACAGTACAGGATCGATTTACGTGAAATAATAAACCGATTCCATGGGGGTAATTCATCATCCGCATATACTAGAAAGCTAAGCAAGTTCAAAAACAACTCCTCTGAACTTAAGAAGGTTTGTGCATTTGAAAGACCACAAGAACAATGAGAAAAATTGGATTAGAAACCAATCCACCGTTAGCATAAAAATACAACTGTGAGAAATTTAACAGACACGACTTCTATCGACGAGGCTTTTGTTAGACATACAGTCAAAAGTCATTGATTTCACATATATATCTTTTTGGCGTCGTTAATGGAACCCACGCCTAAATCAGCAAAAGATCTTTGAGACCTTCTGAAAATCCTTCTACAGTTATTAACGCCTTCCCATTAAATTTATTTCGATCGTAGCTTACCTTCCCTCGCCACAAGACAATCGCCGACGCACTGGTTATCGTCTGTTTTTCTGATTATGCTTGTTTGTGTATAAAGGTGTAAGTTTGAGACTATGACGTTGGAAGTCTACAAAATCTTTTAATTATTGTTATGGAGACGAGAAGTGCACGCCAGTTTAGGCATGGCCACAGGCCGGTCGCGCATACCCTGAGCATATGTGACGCACACCCCATGTGCACTGCAATGTTCTAGAATGTCCCGCAGCCTGGGAAACCACGCCAGAACTCCCCCTCTCGTGCGATAGACCAGGAACAGTCTAGAAGGACCAGCGCCTCATAATGGGCTGTAGTGGACACGCTTGTTCATACTTCTGCTGTCTCTGTATTGTCGTGAGTAAAGACCCTTGCGATCAGAACCGGCTTTGCCTCCTACCTATTACTCCTAGGGACATATTAATTATTTAGTTTAATCTTGGATTGCCTACCATCGTGAATCACTAAATAAAGTTCACAAAGTGTCTAAATCTTAGTTCTGTGTAATACAAATAAACCTGCAAGGAAGGTGTGAGCTACACATTTGTAAACTTTTACCTACCTGCCCAAAGATCCCCAGTCGCACACCCTCGAGTGTCCAAAGACAAACAGAGCAGTCAGAACTTGCAGTTGCAATGACGGTCTTTTTTTCGGCTCGTGCACAAAACGCGATTTCACTGATCAGATCCGTATGAGCCGCCCATTGGGCAAGCAGTGCTGAATAAAAAAGGGGACGATTCAATCCGGTGT